CTGCAATATCATCATCTCAGATGTGGATGGTGATTCCATTGCATTTATATCCAGCCTTTCTGCTTCTCATAAGGAACCCAAAACAGTGTCTGTAACTCCATCTTACCATCCCTACAAAAGGTCTCTGAGATAGGTTAGGCTGAGAGTGAGTGACTGGCCCAGAGTCATCCAGGGAACTTCATGGCCAAGTAGGGGCTAGAACCCCAGTAATCTCTCATGTTCCCAGTCCAGCACTCTAACCACCACACTGGCTCCCCTTATATTACCTGGGCAACAAAAAAGTCCATGGTGGACCCATCCTTGCCTTCTTTTACCCATCATTCCAATTTCCATCCTCCAAATATTGTTTAAAAACCCATGAATTTCAATTATACGACTGGAGGTTGAAGGACAAGAGACTTGGGCTAGGAAAACCCTCACTTAAGGCCAGAGCTTTGATCTGCATTGTTCAGATGACAGTCTCTTAGTACTGAATGGGCCACACCTGTGATTACTGTATGTTGGCATTACCCGTTCAAGCTAATCTCCAAAGATGTTGGCAAACTGCAGGAGTCCGTGGTGTGTCTGTGCACTGCTGCCCTCTCCTGGACAGGACAGAGCTGGTCCCGTACACGGTGTGCAGAGTTTGTCCAAAGGACCCCTTTCGAATTCCAGTTCCTTCACAGGGCTGCTCCTGAAACTCAGTCACATGGCAAAATGCAGCACATGGGGAAGATTTATAGTTGTGTCTGTTTCTAGGTCAGGCACACATTAGGACAAGAATGTTAAAGTCTTATGCCAAGACTTACTTGTGATTGCTTCCATAAATCCTTCCCATGCTATGAGTGTTGTCAGCAAAGTGACTTGACAGGGGCTGGGCAGTCCTGTGAGCAAGAATGGTTGCATGGTAAACAGGCCTGCGGTTTTCAGCCCAACCAAGAATGCGAGCCATCAAAGGAAGAGGCCTACCAATCCAGGTCCTGCCTCTGTCCATAAATTCCGTTGACTCATGTATTTGGCAAATATGCCGTCATTCCTGATGCTTGTTTGTGTATGCAGCGGTGTTCCTTACAGGACAGGAGATGATCAAAGGCTGTCATAGGTACATTACACAGCTGCTCTGCTGCATACAGCCGTTGGGTTTGGCAAGCCTGCTTTGTAACTGAGGTCACAGAGAGTGTCTCAGTTGTGTGTGGGGCTAATATCCGAGGCTCGTTTAACGGAAATGCATTGTTATTTATATCCCATTTTTCCATCAAAAATTGCACTCAAAGCAGCTATCAATAACAAGACCGAGTTTAAAACCTTAATAAAGCAAATGCAGTGAAATCATTCGAAGAGAAATAAATAGTAAGACATAAACAATACCTGAGCAATTTGACAACCCCCCCCCCATTTGGCAACAGGCCAGCCTACATGGCAGAGGCCTGCCCAAATAAAAGTGTTGGCAGAAGGACAGCAGTGAGTGAAGCCAGCTATGCAGGGTCCTTGCTGCCGCAGCGCCCCCGTCCTGGAACGCTTGTCTTCTCCTTGACTTCTTCCCTGCAGATATTTCTCTTCAGACTGAAAACCCTTTTATTCCAGCCAGACTTCATTCTGTTGAGTGTTTGATTCATTTGCTTAACTCGTTCATTTCTGTACCTATGTCGTCATTTAACTGATACCAACCCTGCTTTGCATTCTTTCTTAGTTTGGTTTTTTTAATTTGTTGTAATCAGTTGTGAGCTGCCTTAAGTACTTCCTGTTGAGCCAGGAAGGTAGGATGAAAATGCTTCCAAACAATAAATATGTATTTCAAACAGTAGGTACGTTGTTTAATGCAAGCACCAAATGGGTAACTTGTCAGAAGACTGGGGATCCTCAGCTAGTTTGCATTTGCTACTGACTTTAGATGTCCACAGTCAGCATATTTAGAAACATGACATTTTCCTGCAAACTGAACAGAAAATGCGATAGACCTGAGGACACCAAGGACCAAGTTAGTCTTTATCTCCATTGATGCTTTGAGCTTCCTCCTTTCATAGGAGACACGATGGTGACATAACCACAGGTGCATTGATCATTACCATTCCCAAATCCTTTTCACAACAAAATCTGTTCCACACTCAACTGCTGCAGCCTTGGCTATTGTGGCCTGGAACAAGTATGGCTGCCCAGGGCATGTTGAGAGTTACAGGGCTTCTTCTCTATCTAAACTTGCATAGGATGGAGCCCTTGGAGAGTTCTGCTTTGCTTCGCTTTTGGTCACTTTATTATTCCCAGAGAGAACCAGTGTGGAGCGGTAGGCCGAGTGCTGGACTGGGGTTGTGGGAGGACCAGTTTCTAGTCCTCACCCAGCCATGAAGCTTACTGGGTGAATTTGGGCAGCCACTCCCTCTCAGCCTCACTAACCTCACTGGGTTGTCATTTTTAGGATAAAAATGGAGCTATCTAACCTGCCTTGGATTCCTCGCAAGGGTAGAAGAGGCAGGACATGCATGTGATGTGATGCTATTTTCACATTTTTCTTCAAAACTTTGGAAATTGAAACCCATTAAAAATTGGAAGAGAGAACCTGGACATCATTTTGGACCCCCTCCCCAAACCCCACCTTTTAGAGACTGCATGCTTGCTTTGGACCACACGTCACAGACACTTGCATGCGCAACACATGTACACACTTGTTGTAGCAGCTTTGTGACTCTGTTTCCATCCTTAAGCATCCGAGAGTGTTGATTGATCGTAAAGGATACGCTACACATTTTCAGTGTAATCGATGGTTTGAAATCGCTCCAGGACCCTTTTTTCCTTCTTAAAATAAAACCATTCAGATACAGAAGAACTGACAGGCAAACAGAAGAAATGGCTATTTCAGCGCTATGCTTCTTCACAAAAGTGAGAGATTACCTGTGTTTTACTCTCGAAAAACACCCAACTAGATGTTTGGCCAGATAGCTGACCAGACACTATGTATCTGCTTGAGTGAAAGCAAAACCGAGAAAATATTTTCCACTCCTCAACTAGAAGGATCCTTGACAGACTTTTTTTCAAATATGATAGTAACAATATTTTAAAAGGTAGAAGATCCTTTCCTTAAAATATATTATAAATTTGGAATAAGTATAAGCAAAGGAAAACCTTATGTCATCAATCTTACCATTATGTCCAATTACTGAATTAGAAGGGTTTCCATTAAATCTAAGAGAAACTTTGGGGAAAATATTAAAGAATCAACAAATAATTAGATTAAAAATTGGGTGCAGAAAATGAATAAAAATGGAAAGAGAAAAGCACTACTAGGAAAGGAAAAAATAACTTATACTGTTAAACTAGAGTTTGCTTAAGGAAAGGAGTTAGATGTAGAGATTACATCAAATTTGAAGCTGTGAATATAGAAAACAAAAAACAAGATAATAGGCAGATGAAAGGGATAGTAACTAAAATTTACATTAAAATCTATGTCAGTAAGAATGAAGGATTTTTTAAATAAAACTGTATGGAAGTGGTACCTAACCCCAGTGAAGTCAAGTTGTATAGATAGTAAATATTCCAATTTATGTTGCAGATATAGCTGTGGAGTAGGTACATGTTTTCATATGTGGTGGGAATGTGAATACATAATGAAGTTTTGGAAAGAGGTTTTTAAAGAGAGTTGAAATATGCCCTGAGATCGCATTACTGTCAATATTTGAAAAGAAACAATGGAGTTGGAATAATAAAGGATTAATAATGAATTTAATAACTTCTGCAAGATTAATCATAGCTAAGACCTGGAAAGTAAAATATGATTATCAATTACATGATTGGTATATAGCTATTAATGATAAATTAACTTGAATTAACTTAAATGAATCAAAGTGAGAAAAGGGCATATAAAGAAACATAAATTTAATGAGATTTGGGGTGCATTGATTGAATATGTATTTAAAAAAGGGAAAGGATTGGAACCTTATCGAGAACCCTTGAAAGAATTTTTGAATAAGTTTTCAATGTGTATTTTATGGTCTTGGTGATGGGGCTCACAGTATTTTTATGGTTTATTTTAACTGTATGTTTAATGTTATAGGTTACTATTTAGCTGTAAGTTTTTCAGCTGTATTTTATATTGTAAAACTAATTAGAAATATAAAAAAAATATTTTCTACTCACAGTTGTCAACATTTGGTTTTGCATATGACATTTCTCACACCGCTTTCTGGAATTTTGAATTCGTACATGGATATCCACAGACCTTAAAATCTGCTTTTGTGTGTTTGTGTATTTATGTGCGCACATATAATTCAGAACAGATTTTCAGTTTGTGGTAAACCTGCTTGTACCATGGTTCTGGTGGCACAATGTATATTTCAGTTGGAAAAAAAGCTAGTTGTCAGAAGGTTTTTCACCCTCAGAAGAGCAGCTTTCAAATCCACTTTGACAAATATCAGTATAATTTCACAGTTCACTCCAAAAGTCTGAATTATTTGTGAAACAAAATTTCAGGAGGAAAATCATTACCCATATTTATTTCTGTGAAAAATAACTGGAGAAAATGACACGAGTGGGCAAGCAGTAGGTAACTATCTGGATGCATCCAGTCAGAAAGCAGCCAGTGAGGCGGGATGGAGAGCAGAAAGATTCTCACCTGTACCCAAGGGGCCGTCCCCTGCCTTTACTAGCCAGCATCCATGGGGACCTGTATGAACACCATGGGGGCAGACAGTGTGAACCCTCTGGATGGAGCTCAGAGACAGCAGCAATGTAATAGGAGCTGCTGCTACATTTTACTGCTCACCATTGTTTGGAACTTCTGGGTCATCCCTCCAGAGGTTTTAGACTAGAACTCCCATCAGCCCCAGCCAATGTGGCCAATGGTCAGGTAACATTGGGAGTATGTTGGGTGTAAAAAAATGAATGAAACCGTGTGATGTTAATTTTCACATCTCCACAATGCACCCACAGATTCATGATGCAGAGAGTTGCACTGCATCAGCCATTTAAGGAATGAACTGAGAATGCCACAGAAATTCCTGCATTTAATTCTTTGTTCCTTTTTCCTCAAGGGCTCTCTGCGGATGGTGGTGCCAAGCGACAAGAGCATCTCTCTCGATTTTCCATGCCAGATCTCAGCAAAGATTCTGGAATGAATGTCTCAGAGAAGATGAGTAATATGGGGACACTGAATTCCTCTGTCCAGTTCAGAAGTGCCGAGTCTGTCCGAAGCCTGCTTTCTGTTCAGCAGTATCAAGATATGGAGGCCAACTTGCATGATCTCGCCAATCCAATTGGTTACAGAGACACATCCTCCCGTGTAAGAATGCATCAGAGCTTTGATTATGAAGGTGGGATGCCAGGAAGCAAGTTGGCTGGACAAGAGAATGCCAGACATCCTCCCATGAGTGAGCGTACCCCCAGACGAACTAGTCTCCGCGATGATGACCGACGTTATCGCCCCCACAGGCCTCGGCGGTCAAGGCGCTCCCGCTCAGATAATGCTCTTCATCTCACCAGTGAACAGAGCTATAAACTGAAAGAGAGGCCTTCTCTACGAGCCAGAGAGGATTACGACCAGTTCTTGCAGCAAAGAAGCTGTAGAGAGACCATGGAGCAGGGTGCACGAAGAAATCTGTATGGTCAGTGTCCGAGGACTGTATCAGACCTTGCTTTGCAGAACCACTTTAGCGAGCGATGGGGACCCTACTTTGCGGAATACGATTGGTGTTCGACGTGCTCCTCATCCTCCGAATCTGACAATGAAGGCTACTTCCTTGGAGAACCAATCCCACAACCCAGCCGTCTCCAGTATGTTACCGGTGAAGAGCTCCTTCACAAATACGGTTCATACAGCATGCCTAAGTCTTCCACACTAGGTGGTCGAGGACAGTTACACAGCCGGAAAAGGCAAAAGAGCAAAAACTGTATCATAGCATAACCATGTTGCCCGAGCACAGTGTTGGAGAATGTAATTACTTCATCAAACTTGCACTGTTGTAGGTGTTAAAGCGCTTTTATTGTAACAAAACATCCTGGCAAGCGGGGAGCTGTAAGAAGAAGGTCATAGACAAAAGTCTATAAATAGACATAATTGTTGGCATGGTGAATATATTTTGCACATTTTATTTTGTGGAAAGAGGGAGTGATGAAATTTATTTTAGCATGTAATAGTTACAAATTCACCTCCTTCCCACAAGTAGCTGCCATTTAATACCCAGTTCACCCATGTGTTTTTAGTTGCCATTGTTTTCTATAACCAGCACTTAGCTACTAGATTATTCTTTCTCCTCTTTTTGGCTTTTTATTTTCATCACCTGGTTTATTTCAGCCATTTTTCTTCCAGATTGCAAGGAAGTATAAGTTATTTCCATTCTTGTCCTGTAAATGCAAAGTAAATGAGAGTTCCGAGAAAATATTTTTGTATTTTGTAATATCAGAGGAATGTCTGTATCTTGGGAGTCACTGGGAAATTCATGCACATCCATCATGCTTTTTGGCTAGAGATCAACAAATAGGGCTTCAGAATCCTTTATCTTTTGCCATTGAATTTCTCTGGATCAGTAAGACTTTACTTTCTGCACTTGCTTAAAACAAAAAGGGAGCCTTCTCTAACATGAATTAGCTCTCAAGGAAGCCTGCAGGGCGCTTTTGAAGTCGACCAACACCTCCCTCTTATGCTACTTTGTAAAACAAATAGAGGCATCTATCACTGAAAGAAAATAAAAACAAGGGGTTTTTCCCTTTATAAAATGCAAGGAAAATATAACACCTAATATTTGTAAAAGGTAAAGAATGGTCTCGGTCTAAGCAGGTTCACATCTCATTAGACAGCACTGAAGTCACTAAATTTCAACTACTTTTGCAGGGATAAACCCAAACAATTGTAAATGGTGCAGTTGTGTGATGTCAGCATGAACTTGTTTTGAGTATAGAATTGTTTTCTGGTGCTCTGGTTTCCTGGCATTTGTTAACTGCTGTTCATTACCGAGTGGGATCTCCAACACTGCCTTCTTCTGAAATTCATAATGAAATGAATGCATCCTAATCATGTCAGACGAAAAGTCTACCCATGGGAGATAAGTGCATTCTTCAATCCCATTGTGAAGGCAGTTTGAAGGACCCATCCTCAGGGTACAGTGGAGTCCATTCTTTGGAAGCAACAAACGTTTCAACATGGTAGATATATACATAGGGCTCAAAATGTATTGTGTGCTATGGTGGCTGTGAGGTTTGTTCTCTCTCTCTCTCTCTTTCTCTCTCTCTGTATGCTTTAAACAATTGGGAGATGGACATCAAGATGTGTTCTGTATCGTTTCCCAATGAGACAGTGGGAAAGAAGGAAATTCTTTTTTCATTATCATAGTACCTTTTTATTATAGGGCTGTAAAACAGGTTTGCGTAGTCCCCAGCTAGGTAGGATCTCACCAACTTACCACACATGTGCATAGTTCTCTGGAGTCTTTGAGGATTCTGTTAGAACAATTGTCCCTTGGAATAGATGGCAAAATGCAAACTGATGTGAGAAGGATTTAAACAATCAGGTTCATGGGTCCCGACGTTTCACCTGGACCTACGAGGCAGGGACGCTGGACCCGCTCCAGTTCCGCTGCAGGACGAGTCCTTGGATCAGCATATTTGTAATAATGTGGGAACAGTGTTACATATTGAAAAGCAGTGACTCAGAAGGAAATCTCAGATATGGATGTATCCATAGCACAGCTTGGAATTTTTTGTTGTGCGTAAGGAGAATGTGATAACTATGATTTTTTTTCCAAAAAATAAAATAAAGAAAAAGAAATGAAACCAGATGATGTATAAAAAGAATGCATTTCTTAGCTTGCATGAAGGGAGATATTGGGGCCTAAACAGAAAATGTCTTTTTTCGCAATTAGGTATAATCACGGTGACCTCATTAAGTCTTATATATTTCATTTCCTTTCAACGCATATTATGTTTCTTGGCATACAGCCTGCGATGTAAAGGTCTGTGGTTATTTTCATCTGTACACGGACTGCTCACAATGCGGGGCAGCACAGTCCATGCAAGAGTGTATAAACACAAAGCCAACGATAAAATTAAGTTCTGTGTTCACCTTCAGTTCAAACAGAATATAATCCCCAAGTGGCTTGTATCACTTACTTACCATTGGCTCCATGCACATTTTTTTTAATTCCAGGGCTGCTGATTAATGGGGTCTTATCCGCCAAAGTAATTTTTGGATGTTGCTGGATTTTGCTTTTAAAAAATTAAAATACGCACAGAGGCTGCATTCAGGTATCACAACAGACCACTTTTTTTGCAATGAAGTTGTATGGCAGGAGGCAAACATGTACCCCCTTTTATACAGGCGGCTACCACTCTGAAGCGCCCATTCTTTGGTTCCCATTTTGGCCATATGCAGGAGAGTGGTTGGCAAAAGCCAGTCCTGTGGCCAAAGTTCTTCCTCCTGTTTTTCTTATAAATAAACCTTGCTGCTCGTAGCAACAGCTAGCGTGCCTCGAGCATGGAGCTGACAGCATTTGGTCGGAGCAGAGGTTACGGCGTTCGGTCAGCGTGGAGCCTCTCGCTTCTGTCCTCTGCTTCTTTTCTCCTGTTTCTGATTTAATGTCATTCCTAGCGGATGTTTTTCCTGTCCCTGAATCCTGACACCTGACATTGTTTTGGGGCGGGGGGTGGGGGTGGAGCAGAGGACTTTCCAGAATCCTGTATCCAAGGCCCGTCCACTTCGGAGTTGTTCCTTGCAGCTGGTGTGGATGCCAGGTGTCTCCAAGGACACAACTCCAAGGACTTCAGAAAGGGTTGAGAGGGGCTTTCTGGGAGGGAGGGGCCGAGACTGGGACCATTGCCTTGTGCTGATTCCTACTCGTATCAACAATCCAGCCTCCTTTCTTCCCCCTTTCCAGTTTTAAATCTAGTCAGCTGAAAATGGCCTTCTAGAGTAAGTCCATGGTGGGGGATGCACGTAAGACCCTAGTTTTGGGCTTCAGAGCACACTGCATTGTGTCTAGTTAACAAGCCAGGTTATTGAAATGGGGGTAGATCATGGCTTGATATTACATGTTGTTTACTGTACATCCCATGATTGCCAGCAAATAGTCGTCGTCGTCGTCGTCGTCGTCATCATAGGGAAGTGGTTTCTACCAAACCACAAGCAGAAGTTTCACATTCCCTTATAGATGTAGACTCAGGAACAAATCTGAGCTTGAGGCTCCTTCTTGACATCTGAAAGTCGCCGATGAGTCGAATACTCTTCTTAGGCTCAATCTCAGGGTTACACTCTTCCTATGCAGGACAAGAAGCGTGGCGGAAGCAATCTTTGCGACCCCGTTCCCCTTCTCTGCATTTCCACCAGATGGAGTTCTTTGCCAGTCCAGCAACGGCACTTCAGAAGGAGAGGGATGGAGGCCTCACAAGAGCTTGTATCCTGGCCTCCCCGGTCTCCTCCCTCCCACCAAAATGTGCCCTTTTCTCCTTCTCTAAGGTTGCCTTCCCAGCCTTGACGAACAGCCAGCGCTGTGCTTCCCTTGCTTGCTCTGGGTGCATGCATCAGAGCTCCAGTTCCCAGCTCTGCAGCGGGAGAGCTGCCTCCCACCTCTGCTCCGGGCATCTGCAAAATTCTGTGGCCCTTTGGATGCTGTAGGTCTTGCTCCCTTATTGGAATTTGTTACCAAAAGAGTTAGAGGTGGTAGGAATAAAAGAAACAATTTAAAAAGCCCCAAGAAAACATTTATATGTGATCAGACTGGGCAGTTTTAAAGCTCATTTTACTCTCTCAGATATTCTGAAATACATTATGTGGTAGGCCGATGTAGCTCAATTTGGTTGTGATGTAACCTCATAGAAAACAGTGAAACATTCCTATTATTAACCTTCATTTATGAAGCACTTTGCATTCAAAAGTACCTTGAGGATAATGGCACTGATATAGATCCATTTGTTCCATTAGTTTCAATGAGACAAATTAGTATGCATATGATACTTAAATGTCCAATTTAAGAAATGCACTTTACCAAAGAATGGCTCATGCATATGCGATTTGGCGTTTCCTAAGGCTGACATCGTCTGCCTGCTTACCTGGGAGCAAGCCCAGTGGAACTCTGGGGGACTGAATCCTGCATAAACATGCATAGGCTTGCCCCATGAATCCCTTATATGGCTTGGAGCCTGTTACTCAGCTATCCAAAGGAATGGTTTGTATACTGGAGAGAATGACATATGCATACCTTACTGGTAGTCTGTAATTGCCCATAATTATGCATAATTACTTCTTGAAATTATATATATGAGCACAGGCTGCTAATTGGTGTTAATCAACATATTCCAGGGAGACTCAGATTCTCTGACTCTTATGGAAAGTTCCAGAAAGGAAATGCATATATATATGTTAAATATTAAAGTGTTGACTCTTGGATATACTGCTACAATCCCCCAATTTTCTAAGTACCTATATTTCTTTCTATCTATCTATCTATCTATCTATCTATCTATCTATCTATCTATCTTATTATATTTGTATCCCATATTTTTTCCTTTCAAGAATTCTCAAGTAAATAAATCTCTTCCTCTCACTCATATCCTCACAACAAAAACCCTGTGAGGTAGTTTGGGTTGAGAGTCTGTTACTGGCCCAAAATCACCTAGTGAGCTCCATGGCTGACTGGAGACCAGAACCCGGGTCAGATGAGTCCCAGCCCCAAACTCTTAAGCACTGCACCACACTGGTTCTCCTGTCAGGTATCCTACCCTTGTCCTGATAAAAGCTTCTGCAGTAATTCTGCAGAGTAAGAACACAGTTTGGTGGTCTGTAGACGCTCTCTGGCCAGCCATAGAAAAAATGAGGATCCCAAAGCAGTCCCAAATTGGACCAGGGACTCTGAATTCAGACCACCCTTCTGTTGACTTCACAGCCAGCGTAGTTCTTCTTCACCTGCTGGGGCTCCAAGGTCATGGGAATGACCTCAGGGCTGGTGCCAGGGGAACATTCCAGAAGATGGGGAAGGGAAGGGTGAGGCTCCTCCAGGACATGATGCATCCCAGCAGTGCCTCCGCCTGCCTTCCTCATGAGCAGGCACAAAAGACTTGGGTGGCTTTCGCAGGGCAGTCTACCCATGCTCTTGTGCCACTCCCCCCCTTGACAGGATCCTCAAAATCCTCCAGTCCTCCCCACTGGATTCTGCCCTAAGGGTGCTAGCCAAAGAAAGGGGGGGAAAGAATTTGCGTTGCATCCATGGTTGATCAGGAATTAAGGGAGCCAAAGTCCAAGACATCTGAAGGAGACCCATTGCCTACACCTGCTGTGGATAAATCATATGGCTGGAATTGTCCCAAAAACTCAAAATCAAAAACCCATACTGGCATGCTCAGATATACATTAAATGTATAAGAAAGATCATGCTCCATGTACTGGTCCACATCAGGAAAGGACCAGTATGTGTGTTGTGGGGAAGAGAGATTCTTGGAGAGAGAGTGCTAACAGCTCTCATAAAGTGACAACAAAGCTGAGAAATAAACGGTACCATGACAAAGGCCAAGAGAACCACAGCCCATTTGTCAATGGAGAGACAAGGTATCCTTTCCTGGAAGGTTAACTGGGGATGCTGAGAAACTGGACTGTTTGGGGCAATGTGGGAATTTCTCTTAAAATTAACTGAAGTTTTAAGTATTCCTTAAGATGCAGCCCTGTAGCTTCTACTTTGACATCAGAGTTGAGCTGCTAAAATCTGTAGTCTCTGCCTGGTCTGCTGGTATCATTCCAACAGCCAGCGGGACCCTGCCCATAGTCCTGCCAAGGTGTTCAGCAACTGGTATAAATAGTCAAGAAGGTATTTTTTCTGTAAACACCATCCTCTTGAATAAATAACTTCAGGATCCTCAATATCAACAAACGAAATTAAAAAAAACAAAAAAAACAAGATCAGTATGTTTCCTTCTTAGAGAAATGACATATAAGAGATTTTTGGAAGGCCTTTAAAATACCCTAGAGTAGAAGAAATAAAATGGAGTGAGGGTATCATTGCACGGTGCCAAGCCTGGTGTCGCAAGATCTAATACGACAATGAAAATGCAATGGGAAGAGAGGCTACCAGTACCCCAATTCAGCACAAAGATCTGCTGTCACAGTGAAATGGTCTGTATATTTACAGCGTTTTCTTTGAAGTTCAACCACAAGCTTGACATGAAGAGATTGATTTTGTCTGATGGAAGGGAGGGGGTTAAGAAGTAAAATGCCTTGCAAGATATGTTTCTGTTCAAGAACTGGCTCCAACCCTTCAATTGTTCTTGCTAAATCTTAGCATGTCACATCCAACAGTCCTTTGCTGGGTAGAGCTTGCTTACGCCGTGCCAAATAACTAGTTTCATCCTTCACTTGGTTCTGTACCTACCCCATCCCTCAGATGGGCAGTTAACCAGGCCTATCACCTGGTTGTGTAAATGTGTGTGCATGGGAGTGTGTGCATGCACATGCACGTGGGATCAGAACAGCTCACAGAGGAATCTTTGGTTTGCACCCGTGTGCCACAATCTTGATCCAGTGATTAATAATTTTGGCTGAGAACTAGTGACCTAAGCAAACCTAGGGAACCCTTGTGTGAGTAGGAACCGCCTGTTCAGGCTGCTGTCCAAGTGCTAATTTTTGATGAGCATCTTCAAAGGACCTCGATGCTCCCCGTTCTGATGGAACCTCATCTTTAAACCAGACTTGTGGCAAGCATCCCTTCAAACAGATTACTGGCTTTTAAATCAGGGCATGGCCCCAGAGAGCAGGTCAACTAGAGGCCACAAACGTCATATCTTCCAGCCCCACT